TGGTACGAACAATAATTGACGATAATAACATTGCTGGCAATGCTTCCCACAGCGCTATAACCCACCACAAACAAACCAACACATCAACAACAACAATTTACGTGAGCCACCCCCCCCCCCTAGCCCGCTCCCGCCCGCGGCCTAGCGCTCAGGCTGCGGCTAAAAATCCAGGCGAGGCACCTTCGTCCTGCTCCTCGGAGGCCGCCGCCGCTGCCGTCGCCCCCTCGGCGTCGTCTCCCTCGGCCTCGTCCTCCGAGTCGCTCTTGGAGAAGTCGATCTTGTGCGCCAACTTGGCCAGGTTCTCGGACATGGACAGCGGCTGCACGAACGTCTCCGTGCCATCGAGAGCGACCTCCTTGATCTGGTGCTCGCTGCCCGCCTCGATGCTGATCTTCACCGACGGGGCAGCCGCCATGGTGGCAGACGCCGCTCGCGATCAGCGAAGGCGGTTGGGAGTAATCGATTGTAATAATCGATGAGAGTAATCGATTCGCGTGTGCGAGGGCAAAGAGACCGACAGTAAAGAGACGGAATGAAGGGTGGTGGTGGTGGTGGGGGGGGCGTTCGTGACGCCTTCTGCCCGAGCCGCGGCTGACAGGAGGCCGACTGAACCACGCCAACCCTCGGGGTTCGCACCAGAAGCAGAAGTAATCGATTTCACTCGATTAGGTGGAAAATCGATTACGATGACGTGCAAAATCGACTACACGTAATATAGACAACACGTTCTACTGAATTAAATAGACTTTTTAATAAATGTTTTCTCCTACAACATCAGAGTGCAGCGGCACATTAAATACACACTACAATGACAATAGTTTAAAGCGATTTGAAGCATGTTTTGGGAGGGGGGGTCTGACTTTTTGTGACGCCGCATGACACGGGGGGGGGGGGGGGGGGTCAAATATCGTCCAAAATCGCGTGACGTCATTCATGGACGGCCCCTTACGGACACGTCTCGTGTAAATAGGGCACATTTTGAAAATTAATGGAGCGATTGGAATCATGTGACTCCATCACTCTGCCACAACACGCACACGTGTGCGCCGCCACGTGGGGCATGGCGATATGACCGAAAATTATTTGAGCCTCTGGCGGGATGCTAATAATTATCTATATTTATATACGGTACAAACAGCAGATATCTGAATTTAAATATATTGATGTAAATCTGTTTCAAATATTTTCACATCACGAGTGAGATTGTGTTCCACGTGAAATAGCCGTTTTGTATAAATTATGGTACGACCCATAGCGTAAATATAGGCGACAACGTCACTCCCATAAGTCATTGCGCGGGATTTTAACAATGTGCTATCCTATATTTTAGATACAAACATACGATCTGTAACTTAAAGTTTATTCAATTTAAAGCTATACACAATGTTGCATATTCTGTGTATAGCTGTGCTGCATGTGATTATAGCTGTTTTGTGATAATCATTGTATGTTCCCATAGCGTAGAGAGAGTACCTGTGGGTATGTGTACCCCAGCGTAGGCAGTGTTTAGGTATCGCTTCTCGGCCTTTTGGCTAAGATCAAGTGTAGTATCTGTTCTTATCAGTTTAATATCTGATACGTACCACATTGTGGTACCTTATATTAAATTGATTTTTGGGACAGGGAGATGGAATAGGGGCTTGCTCCGTCCACTCCGCGCATCAACCCGGTATTGCAGTACCTCCGGGAATGGTGCACCTCCCCGCTTGGGGAGGGAAAATGTTAAACAAAGAAAGATTTACTTTTTGCCGGACATTTCCTATTCGGTAAAGCAATCAACTCCATCCTTGTCTCCAGCCCGTGTAATTGCAATCTACAGCACGATGGGATGATAGATATTGACCCTGATATTTTTGTTTACTATATTCTTATGCCCGTTTTTCTGAGCGTCCGGTTTTATATTAAACATTATTCAATGAGCGCACATACAAAGCAGTGGTATTATCGATGTCCGATTGCATATTAATATTGATTCTGTGAGTGTAAACAAACATTTTCGGGGTAAGGAGCTTACAGAACTTATATTGCATTGTTTTTAACACAGGCCTTTTGGCAATCTGCTGCTGGATGAAGGCCTCACTTAGCCTCCCAAATTAGCAGACTGCTGCTGGTCTCACACACTCCGATCTGTTTTTACCCCATTGTCACTCAACCCATCAATCTCACTGTCACCTCATCCGTCACACGCAACACACCGCTATACTTTTCGTGTTGAACTTCTTTCGCACCGTACGTAGTCAACGTGCTCATCGGAGGTGCGGGGAAAAACAACAAATTAAACACAAAAGCAATTTACCAAACAATGGAACCTCCCATATTCATTATTTTCCTCCGGTCTACAATATTCTACAATGTCATATTATTCGTTTCACAAGTCTCCACCTGTCACCTGTAGCTTAAAATTAATCGTAGCCGTGTATGTCAAAAAGCTAAAATTTTTACAACACCCCATACGTTGTAAAACTATATTTTAGGTGGGGTGTTGAAACATTTTCTGGTCCCATTACGACCACATCTTCTCCAACTCAACAGATTTCAAACACAGAGACACAGGGTAGCCGGCAGCATCCAGAGGCGACGCATGGAGCGGGCAGGAGTGACGACCCCAGCTCACGCTTCTCGTACCCTCACCAAGACCGCTGTCAGCTGAAGTTGAGTGGAGCTGATGGCGCTGTGCGGACATGGAACGGGTGGTCTGTGCGTAGGGCCGTGGGCGTGAGTGAACTTCTGACTTGACGTCTTTATGCCTCTGGCTTTGTAGTCGTATTTCTCTGGGGTGTGTGGCACCATTCGAGGTGCTGGTCACCATCTCTCTCTCTCGTGTGTATGTCATTGTTTGCACTCACGGAATGTGTAATACAAACTTTAACACAGAATTAAGATGAAGTAAGGCATCGCAATTCAATGGTCGTGTATGCACTCATTGAATGAAGTTTCATACTGGTAGGAACCTCCTGGTTACACCAGCCCACAGGGGATTATTGTGTCCGTCCGTCCGTCGTGCAGGGAGGGGCTGGGTGGGGAGGGAGGGGCTGGGTGGGGAGGGTGGGGCTGGGTGGGGAGGGGAGGGTGTGGAGGGGCTGGGTGGGGAGGGTGGGAGGGGCTGGGTGGGGAGGGTGGGGCTGGGTGGGGGGTGGGAGGGGTGGGGCTGGGTGGGGAGGGGAGGGTGTGGAGGGGCTGGGTGGGGAGGGTGGGAGGGGCTGGGTGGGGAGGGTGGGGCTGGGTGGGGGGTGGGAGGGGTGGGGCTGGGTGGGGAGGGGAGGGGCTGGTCACCCCGTGGTGCCCTTATAAAACTCAACGTTTAACCTACTCACGCCGGCTTGTGCCCGCCCTCACAGTCGGGCATATTTGCGGAATACACCACGCCGCCGTTGACCCTGGCCATTGACCGAGCAACCCAACGTTCCTACCAGCTCCCTCCACAGGAATTGTTATAAAAGATCGGACACTCAACAGTAAAGTTTTGATGAAGTAGGACATCAGAATACACTGAATCGCGGCTATGATAAAGTCGGTCATCAGTATAACATTCAAATAATGTTTTTTACACAGCGACTTAACATAGCAATCTGATCAACTATATGAACAGATTCCTATAAAACATAAGTATAAATCTGGCATCAATGGTCGTTGTTTCTGTATGCTCATTGAAGTGCTGAATGCGATTAAAGATTAAATCTGACACTAATCAAGACGCCTGCCAATTCGACTTTGATCTGGCTCCGGATCGACTGAGCGGAATCGATAGAATAAGCCTCGATCCTCGATCAACAAAGAGCAGCATCCATGGGGCACGACTCTAATCGGTGATTGTGCCCGAGTTGATCGAATTACAGCGCCCCTCGGCCAGCCCTGATCCAGCAGCCCCCCCCCCCCCCCGCGTCACCACCACCACCTCCATCATCATCTCCATCATCATTACCACCACCACCTCCATCATCATCTCCATCATCATTACCACCTCCATCATCATCTCCATCATCATTACCACCACCACCTCCATCACCACCACCATCACCACCACCACCACCACCTCCATCATCACCACCACCTCCATCACCACCACCACCTCTATCATCATCACCATCACCACCTCCATCATCACCACCACCACCTCCATCATCGTCACCATCATCATCACCATCATCCCTCGGCCTCCCTAGGCGCCATCCATTCAGTAAGTACGCATGGAGGGGGGAGGGGGGGGGTTAACCCAAATACGTAGCTGGCGTATGGGGGGGGAGGGGGGGTCTACTGACAGTGTGCGCATAGGAAACGGGGGGGGGGGGGTGAAGCCTCGACAATAAAGTGTCTACTTTGGCCTTCAAATGAGTTAGAGAGCCCGGCGGTGGACGATCTGTTTGCTTAAACGCGTTAATATTATTAATCCTTCATCGTTTCCGCGTGGATTAAATATCGGCCGTTCTATAGGATTCGGGAGGGGTGGGGGTGTAAAAAGTCCGCGTGCGTACAGGGAGCGGGAGGGAGAGGGGGGAGAGGTCAAGTTTTGACAGATTGCTGCGTGGGGACTCAATGGATGGCCCCTCACACCCACCCGGCGTCCCGCCCCTCCCCCTCCTCTCTTCTCATACACCCCGCCCCCTCAGCCCCCTCACTCTGCCCCTCACCCCGCCCCTCATCCCCCTCACCCCGCCCCTCATCCTCACCCCTCACCCCCTTCACCCCGCCCCTCACCCCGCCCCTCACCCCCCTCACCCCGCCCCTCATCCTCACCCCTCACCCCCTTCACCCCGCCCCTCATCCCCCTCACCCCGCCCCTCATCCTCACCCCTCACCCCCTTCACCCCGCCTCTCATCCTCCTAAGCCCCTCACCCCGCCCCTCAACCCCCTCATCAACATCACCCCGCCCCTCACGCCCCCCACCCCCCCATCACCCCGCCCCTCACCCCCCACACACCCCCCCATCACCCCGCCCCTCACCCCCCACACACCCCGCCCCTCACCCCCCATCACCCCGCCCCCCACCCCCCCATCACCCCGCCTCTCCGAGCCGCCATTGCCCGTCTCGGCTGCCCACTGTCCCCTCCCCCGCCGTCTTTGTTGTCGCTCTGGGCGCTCCGTCACTCGCGGCCACCACCGAGAGGGGCACCGCCGAGAGGGCCGCCACCGCCACCACCGAGCCGGGCACCGCAGGAGACGACGCAGCCGCCGGAAACCCGAGCAGAGAGGTGAGCGAGATGGCGTGAGACACACGCCGCACTGTACGCGCGTGTGCGGCCACAGTGCGTCGCGCACTGTACACAGCACAACGCACTGTACACAGTACAACGCACTGTACACAACACAACGCACTGTACACAGCACAACACACTGTACACAGCATCGCGCACTGTACACAGCATAGAGCACTGTACACAGCACAACGCACTGTACACAGCACAACGCACTGTACACAGCATCGCGCACTGTACACGGCATAAAGCACTGTACACAGCGCACTGCACACAACGCACTGTACACAACGCACTGTACACAACACTGTACACAAAACAACGCACTGTACACAGCATAGAGCACTGTACATAGCACTGTACACAGCATCGCGCACTGTACACGCACGACGCACTGTACACGACACTGTACACACCCGCACGGCGCACTGTACACGCACTGTACATACCAGCACAGCACACACCGCGCACTGTAGCGCACTGTACATACCAGCACAGCACACACCGCGCACTGTACCGCGCACTGTACGCTTATTAACAGCGGCGTCTCGTGTGTGACTGCAGCTGCGTGTTGTTGTACACCGCCGACACCACCGCCCACGGCTGCGAACGCCTCTTCTCTTAACGCAGTTTACGCACTTGCGCTATTGTGAGCGCACGTACAGGTACATCAGTCTGCGCTGTGTGCCCTGCAGTACACGAAGCTACATTGAAAGTGCTGGCAGTGAATACCCACTGCCCTATGCAACGTCGCCCATTCAAACGAGCAATGCGACTGAGCCAGTGGTGTGAAATTCCACAATCTGAGACTACTCACAACATAGTACTAATGTTATCGACCTCGGGAACATGATGTCTCATTCGTATTTATGGGTCGTGCCCATTGATTGCATCGTTGTACTGCAGCGGTCTGTCGGAGTGGACACTGCTGACTGAGAGCGTGGGGAGTGAAGTCGAAACATCCCTTGGACACCGAGACGTGTAAGTAGCATCACTCTCTGAGTCGGGGCTCATTTTGTGAGCGAAGTTATGTTTGATTAGATTTTTCCGTAGCAATTGAAGTAAATTGAGTGGTTGACATGGTGCAAAAATTGACGGCTGTTTGATTAATTTTTCTTGTGCGGTTCTATGTTTTTGCGTTCGTATGTTAGTGACCGTGCTATCCTGTTCACTTCAATTATCATTTGGTTAAATTGGCTTTGTTATAGTAGGGTTTTACCCTTTTAAACTGGTACAAAACTGACACCTTTATACAAGGCATCATGTTTGCAATAACCACAACACAAGAGGTCAAAAATGCAAACAAAAAGTAGCAACTCTGATAATGATAATAATATGCACTGTCCTTGAAGTTGATTGGTCCACACCCGAGACGGCTTTCTTTAGAGCTTAGTCCCCATTGGTGTTGGACCAGATGACACCATTTTTGACTACTTGTGTTGTGGTTATTGCAAACATGATGCCTTGTATAAAGGTGTCAGTTTTGTACCAGTTTAAAAGGGTAAAAACCTACTACTATATTTTGCCACTGGTAAAAGAGATCTCATAGTGGCTTTGTTGTGTTTTTGTTGCCCTCCGATTAGCACGGTTGGCTACGAACGGTGCGAAAGATGCTTAACGTACAAACAAAATACAGTAAAACCTTGGATTGCGAGTAACTTGGTCTGCGAGTGTTTTTTAAGACGAGCAAATTTTTTACACAAATAATAATTTGATAAACGAGCGAGGTCTTGCAATACGAGCAGTACGTATACGCTTTGTCTGTCGAGCGTCACGTGATCACAACTGAGCCGATGGTTCTTCTTTCTGGGTAATCGTCTCCCATGCTCGGTCTCAGTCGGGGATGCCTGTGTACGCATTAAACTTGAAATTACTGTTGAGTGCAAATTATAGAGAGGGCCACTAATGTGTGGTGGAGCCATAACCTCTGCTTAATAATCCACTGCATTGAGTCTGGGTAGAGTGTTTTGAAGAGTGAACATGTGCATCAGGTTGTTTTAGGCTGTGGGACAATGTTGCAGAGGGCAATGCAGCAAATTCCAATGTTGAACTGTTTTTTTTTTACCCCCGTGTGGTGAATTATGGTCAAATAACTCCCATGACCCACACGACGTGGCATTGCCCTCATCCATAAGTGACTTGATGAAAGGGCCGTGCCTGTTTATGTAGAGGCCCCCTGCACATTCATAAAGCCAGAGCCATCCGTAGGGTACACTGAATCGGGGGTGGTATGCCCTGGGCCCCGCGCTTTGGTGGTGGGGGGGGGCGGCACGCTACGACGTCACGGTGTCGGGTGTAATACTTCCGGTTTAGTTCGAAGGTGTCGGGGGGGGGCTCAATCGGGCCCCGCGCCCCCCTATGGACGGCCCTGCCCAGACCATACGCTTGGTGTAGATGTAGTGGCATAGAATCGGTCACGTAGCAGCATAGCGCTGGCTGCTGGCAGGGAAGGGGATCTGCAGCTACAGTAGCCCTGCCTGACAGCAGGTCACGTGATAGACCAGAGAGGGATGTAGGGGAAGGGTCACGGAAGGGTCACATCGAGAACCCGCTAGAAGGTTCCAGAAGGGGGCGTGGCTGGGGGTGGAGCCAGGCCACGCTGACAGTAAAAGAGGGGCCAGGGAGGGAGCTCGGGGCTGTCGTGTGGAGTGGGGGGGGGGGTCCCGTCGTGCTGCTGCTGGAGTCTTCACCGTCGTCTCCGTCTTCACCATCTCGGAGTCGCCAGTCAGGCGGCAGTCCACCAGCTGCCCTGGTTGACTGCCGCCTGACTGACTGGGAACCGTAGTCACTAAGTGTTCACTGTCAGGCCGTGTTAATAAACAGTGTGCCTCCTATTCTTCGTGTCTCCGAGTCGGTCACTACATATACACAGCTTCCCATGTCATTCTCTTTGTTGAATTTGCAAAAAATACCCCCAAAAATATGATGCCTCATAACGTTTTTATAAAGTCACTGGGTTCTCGCATGTGTGACTCAATGAGATTTAATTGGCGTGTGCTCATACATGTGTTTGCGTGTTTGTGTGTTTACAGGACCGCCGTGCCACGTGTAATCATGAGCCTAAGCAGCGATGAAGTCAATTTCTTGGTTTACCGTTACCTCCAGGAGTCGGGTGAGTATGGGCAAATGGGCTCTGCAGGGTTTCCTGGGAAGAAAATAATTCTCATGGTAGATACAGGGAGGGGTCTTCCATTCCATGCATAGGGATGTTTCCACCAAACAGGGGTCTCCAGGACTAAACGCACGACCCCCCCAGGATGGACTGGGGGGGTCTCTGATGAGGTTACGCGTCAGTGGGCTCAGTAAGATCTCCCAGCGTGAGCGGTTTATTTCCCGGCAGCTGCGTACCCATACCCAGCAGCATGGGGAGAACTTGGCAACGCATTTAATGGCAATGCGAAGTCTGATACCAGTCATCTTTACGGTCTCCCCGGTTCAGCCTCTAGGGCCTTATTTCCATCATCAGCTCATTCTGTGTCACACTTCAGGTAGCTGATTCTGCACAAATTTGGCAGTAGACCGTGTCTGGCTTGAGCCATGCTGGGGTACACAGTGCACATGACGCCACTCACCCCAGTCAGGTTTATTATACATGGAGCACCGCCAATACGGTTTACCAACACGTCTACTTCCCAGTCATCACGGCCCCAAGTGGATTCGCGCCCGTAACAATTGCCACCTGCCCTGGTTCAGACACAAAAATTGCTTGGGGTTTTTTGTTGTTGCTCTTGTTGGCACTTTAGCCAGACCCTGCCGACGTTGACGGGTCAGAACGCGCGAGCGTTGAAACGAGCCGCAGGCATCTCGACCCACGTGTCGTGGCGCAGGTTTCTCGCACTCGGCGTTCTCCTTCGGCATGGAGAGCCGCGTGAGCCGCGCCAGCATCAACGGCGCCCTCGTGCCGCCCGCCGCGCTCGTGTCCGTGCTGCAGAAGGGCCTGCAGTACGTGGAGGCCGACATGTCCGTCAGCGAGGTTGGTGGGGGTGGTGGGACGGTGGTGGGACGGTGGTGGGCGATGGTGGTGTTGGTGGGGGTGGTGGGTGGGGGTGGCGTTGGTGGGGGTGGTGGGTGGGGGTTGCGGTGGTGGGGGTGGTGGGTGGGGGTTGCGTTGGTGGGGGTGGTGGGCAGCGGTGGCGTTGGTGGGGGGGTGCGCATCCTGTGCCTTGGCACCACGTGTCTCATGATGTCACTGTAATCGCGTGATCAGTGTGGGAGTGTGTGATGCATCTTTTTGTGACTGTGATCAATGTGTGACTGTAATCAATGTTCGAGCACGTTCTGTAATTTCCGTTAGATTATTGACATTATTTAGCTGCTGAGTTTCCACATTAGCCACTTTGTTGAGCCTTTGTGGCCAGGTTACTTTTGTAAAAGAAGCTAATAGCTTAGTGGGGTTTACCTGGTAAGATGAAAAGTAAACCCGTAAAAACAAAGTTTTTCACTATAAATCCTTTATATGCGTGGCATCGGGGCGGCTCGAGTCCTCTCGTCCTCTGGCTTGAGATGGCTGCCACCTATGGGTCAGATGATTGTCTGGCAGCATTAAACAATTGGTACTAAAAGATTTAATTTTTTTCCCCTAAACAGTGTAAAATTTAGGAATTTTTTTCACGAAAATGCATTGTCACGCACAACCAGTCTGTGTGCAAAATGTCAGCTCGATTGGATCACGGGAAGTGAGTTAAAAAACGACCGAAAGATTTGCACGGTCCTAAGCAAGCAAGCAAACTTAATATAAAGGATTTAAAAATAGTTTAGTTTTTTTTTAAATATATATTTTAAAGTGATTTGTTTACATTTCTTATGCTTTGTACTCCTATCATGTTTTTGTATTGTTGTAATGTTCTGACCGGCCCCTACTGGACATCTGTGAAAAAGAGCTTCATAGCTCTTCGGATTCCTGCAGTATCAATAACTATTCAGATTCTGAATGTGGGACTATGTGATCAATGTGTGACTGTAATCAATGTGTGGTGATCAATATGTGACTGATCAATGTGTAACTGTAATCAATGTGTGGTGATCAATATGTGACTGTGATCAATGTGTAACTGTAATCAATGTGTGGTGATCAATGTGTAACTGTAATCAATGTGTGGTGATCAATATGTGACTGTGATCAACGTGTGACTGCAACTAATGTACGACTAAATTTCGATTTAAAGCTTTCGTGACTGCAGGGATTCATCTTTTTGGTTCTTTCGGTAAAGTCACGTAGAAGTGAAATAATGAAATAATAAAAATACAAAATAATAGTGAGAATTGTATTTGATAATGTTTTATTTTTATTATTTTATTATTTCCCTTCTACGTGACTTTACCAAAAGAACCAAGAAGAATAATGTACGACTGTGATTAATGTGACTGTGATGAATGTACAATAGTGTTGACTATAAGATTTCATTAATGTTCTGCAACATCAGTCTATCAGTGTATAACTGGGTTTAAATTCCTGCACCGAATATTGCTGCTTGCTCACTACCACCTATCCCTCGTTCCTAAAGCAACTCTGCTAGGCTCTTCCTGGTGTTACTCGGCATGTAAACAATATCATCGATGCCATTTTGAGAATATCCAAACTTGCACACATTTCTCAAACATTCATAACTTTATAAACAAGTGATGCCACCATCTCCCACTAAAATAAATATGTTCAGTCATTTCAATAGCTCTGCCTGGAAAAAAACAGAATGTCAGAGCTTTAAACAAGGTTAAGTGGAACATGTCAGATAATAAAATTTAAAGGGTAACACTTGAGTACACTTTACCCAATCTCTTCTGAAAGGTTGAGGCACCATCCGTTCCATTTGTTACTTGATCTCAGCCCCATCACCCTTCCTTCGCATGCCTCACAGCACGCTTCTCTCTCGCTCCCTTCCCTCCAGGCACCGAAACCATCGTGCAACCCCACGACGAATGTCAAGGCCCATGTCCACTCGGCTAGCCAATGTTCCTTCCTTCATTTCAGTGCTTTGGGCATCTCTTCACATCCTCTTAATAATTATTTTTGTGCAATTACTCAAAGCACATGGTGCTTACTACACTTGTTTTTTTTTTCTCGTTTTTCCTGCTGCCTCTTTTGACCTGTTTAATTAATTTTCACCAGTAAAGAAATGTTACTGGTAGGAACCTCCTGGTTACACCAGCCCACAGGGGATTATTCTGTCCGTCAGTCTTGCAGGGAGGGGCTGGGTGGGGAGGGAGGGGCTGGGTTGGGAGGGGAGGGGCTGGGTGGGGAGGGGCTGGGTGGGGGGTGGGGGGTGGGAGGGGTGGGGGTGGGAGGGTGGGGCTGGGTGGGGAGGGGCTGGTCACCCCATGGTGCCCTTATAAAACTCAACGTTTAACCTACTCACGCCGGCTTGTGCCCGCCCTCACAGTCGGCCATATTTGCGGAATACACCACGCCGCCGTTGACCCTGGCCATTGACCGAGCAACCCAATGTTCCTACCAGCTCCCTCCGCAGGAATGTGTTTAAACCGAGCATATATTGCCGTGGACTGCCATGCTAAGAATACACATCATTTGGTTATGCTGCTGCTGTGTTGGCAGTGGTGCTCAAGCAAAATCCACAAATAAAACTCAATTCGTGTGCTATGAAGAAGGATCATTGCCTGAAACGTCACTTATTATATATTCTTTTTTATTTTAAGGCCTCCGTGTTATTGCTAAAAATAGGGCATCTGATTACTATTGATGTAAAAAATATAGAATAGGCTAACGAATACCATTAACACTGTTGTTAAATCTGCTTACAACTGTTAATCACGCTGAAGATGTAAGCACCATTGCACGTGTGTTGAGTAAACACACGGTTAGCGCGCTGCGCTACGAACCCCGCGACCTGAGTTCGATTTCCATTTTGGGCTTCCACCTAGGTCGACTCAGCCCCAAACTAATACCTGCTGCGATGTGTAAACCTCCACTTTGAAGATGAAGGTGGCTGGATGAGGAGCTGGCCACCCACCCCCTCACGTGCTGCGCCTGCGCCGGCCTTCATAACTGCTACTCGCTCAACAGCACTCTCCCCTACCCACTCTTGAAGGCTACACGGGGGATCTCTGTCTTTGCATTAAGCACAAACGCGTTGCTCGACGTGTCCCGCCCACTCCAGGACGGCTCTGCGTTCCGCCCCATCGAGCTGCTCTCCCTGGTGGACGCCGTGATGCCGGCTGTCGTGTCGTCGCGCCCCCACGCCTACCGCCCCAGCAACCAGCAGCCGGGGACGCCCCCCAAGAACGGCGGCGGCCCCCCGATGAACGGCGTTGACGACTACGGGGCGCACGCTCTCGGCGGTGAGCGAGCGAACGAACGATACGTGGGTGGTGGCGAGTGGCACGCTGCGAGCGTTGCCTCTCGCGTTCCATCACCGCAGGGTCGGCCTCGACGCCGATGGTGCCCGATGGCCCAAGGCTGGATGATTTAGGTATTGATGAGGCGGGTGACGAAAATATTTGTCAACGAAGTGGGTGGTTTTGGATTATTGTGAATTGTAATGTTGTGGTACGCTCGGACCTGCAGGTGTTAGTCTCCTCTTAAGCTCCGTGTGTGTGTGTGCGTACATGCTCGTAATTATTGTTGGGAGTGGTAGTGCAGCTGTTAGCGTGCTGCTCTACGGATAAGGGCGACCCGAGTACGATTCCCGCTCACGGCCAACATCGGTGATGATTTTCTGAACCGATCCTGGGCCTCCCCTAAGTCGACACAACCTCAAATGAGTACCTAAAGGGGTGCGTAAACATCTCCACTGGGGAGACAAAGGCGGCCGGGCATGGTGCTGGCCACCCACCCCCTCGTGTGCCGTGCCGGCCATCATAGGTGCTCGCTAACAACACTTGCCCCAACGGTCTGTTCAGGCTATACGGGGGATCTCTGTCTTTGTGTGTGATTGCCCTACGCTGGGTCCTTCCCTGCACCCGTTGCCACCTGTGCGCTCGTGCTGCCCCTCCACCCCTCCAGAGCCGCTGGTGGATGGGCCCGACGAGGGCTCGGTGCAGCTGTTGAACAAGGTGTCCGTGCTGCGCTGGGCACGAGTCCGAGGTGTTCATCTGCTCCTGGAACCCGGCCCTGGACCTGCTCGCCTCTGGGTACGATTGGACTTTACCGCCACGCGACTCGTGAGATCTAGCGGCAGTGTTCTTTCACAGACGAGTGCCTGGCTGGCAGATAACACGGGTGTCCGTGATGTCACAGGTTACCCGATGGTGCGCCACAGTGGTGAGAGGGGCGCCATGGTGGCGAGGTGTTAACTGCCTCGCCTGGTATACAGGAGGTCGTGGGTTCGATCGCAACCCTGACGCCAGGTGTATATTTGGAGTTTGCGTGTCTCTCTCTCATCATCATCACGGTGGCTAGGAGATGTTAACTACCTCGCCTGATATACAGGAGATCGTGGGTTCGATCGGGACCCTGACGCCAGGTGTATATTTGGAGTTTGCGTGTCTCTCATCATCATCACGGTGGCTAGGAGATGTTAACTACCTCGCCTGGTATACCGGAGGTCGTGGGTTCGATCGGGACCCTGACGCCAGGTGTATATTTGGAGTTTGCGTGTCTCTCTCATCATCATCACGGTGGCTAGGAGATGTTGACTACCTCGCCAGGTATCCAGGAGGTCGTGGGTTCGATCGGGACCCTGATGCCAGGTGTATGTTTGGAATTTGCGTGTGTTCTCTCCGTGGTCGTGGGGATTTTTCTCCGGGTCCTCCGGATTTTCTTTCCACATTTTAGAAACGTGTGTGAAGAGTATTTGCTGCTATAAATGTCCACGTGATAAGCCACTCCGTTGAGCTATCATTTGTGGCCAGGTCGCTTCTGATGAAGAACTGTACGGCTCAGTGGGCCTCACCTGGTAAAATAAAAATAGTTCAGTTTGGTTTGGTTCATCTTTCTCAGCATGTCGGAATCTTTCAGCATTTTTAGGTTGAATTATGAAACATAAAAAATTAATGTTTACCTGCAAACTACGTGGAGTGGAATGAAAACAAATGTCCCAATCCTTTGTTTTCTTGAAATTGTAAATTTTTTCATACTTGCATATATTGGCGGGATCAAAATGTACTTTATTGGAATGGAGGCTTATTTATAATTATTGAATCGGTTACCGTTGTGTGTTTGGAAGACTCGTGGCAGGGCTTACGTTGCGTGAACTACAGTTGAAGAATGTTTAAGCTAATCTTTATCCTACGAGAAACACAGCAGAGCACAAAAACAACACCGAAAACGTGAAATACAATTACCAGAAACTGATATGGCGATAATGTTCAAATGTGTTCGGAGTCGGCGCTGGAAGATGTGTCGTATATCAAGTTTCTGTTTCGAAAATTGACCCATCGGGGCGTCATATAAACGTTTTAAATGTGGATTGTCGTAAACCAGACCGTCGTAAACTGGAGACCTTTTTTAAATTAGCAATGATAGTGTCGCGTTTGTTCACGTGACAACTTTTTCAATTTGGCTATCGGGTGGAGGAGGGCGTACGACACACATTGCCATTTTACCCGCATGGCGATCTGACCCGAAACTCACGTTTAAAAACGTCGCACGGACATAGTGGCTTAACCAATACATTTTCACTTACCGGAAATTAACACCTTGACATGACATCATTGCCGTGCCAGGTCAGGTGACTCTACAGCGAGAATCTGGGATGTGCGCGAGGGGCCGGGAGGGGCGCCGGCCGAGGGCTCCAGCCAGCTGGTGCTGCGCCACTGCATCCACGAGGGCGGCCAGGACGTGCCCAGCAACAAGGACGTGACATCGCTCGACTGGAACGTGCGTGTGGCCGCCGCGACCTCTCTCGTTGCCGGATGGTGGCGCCCCCGGTTTGCGCCAGTCGCCTGGCGATGCTGGCTGTAGCCGCAGAGCGCTGGGACGTCGTATCAAATTGATTTAGATTAAAATTAACCCGTAAAAACAAAGTTTTTCACTATAAATCCTTTATATGCGTGGCGGCTAGAGTCATCTCGTCCTCTGGCTTGAGATGGCTGCCACCTATGGGTCCGATGATTGCCTGCCACCATTAAGCAATTGGTAATTAAAATACAAAATTTTTTTTAAAAAGTGTCAAATTTTGGAAAAAAAATTTCACGAAAATAAATTGTCACGCACAACGAGTCTGTGTGCAAAATGTCAGCTCGATTGGATCACGGGAAGTGGGTTAAAAAACGACCGAAAGATTTGCACGGTCGTAAGGTGCGCAAGCAAGCAAGCAAGTGAACTTAATATAAAAGATTTAAAAATGGAACACTTGGGCACCGCTGTATTGGAGCAGTGATAAAGTGTCATGTTCGACCACGTGACGGCTTTATCAACTGCCTGTGTTAGGTGGAGGAGGGTGCACGACACACATTCTATTAACGCGATCTGAGCCAAATATCAATTATGAGTCGTGTTGTTTGATGTTTGTAGATCGCTCTCCAGCATCACCGGTACGCCGAAGCAATGATAGTGTCGCGTTTATTCACGTGACAACTTTTTTTTATTTGGCTGTGTCGGGTGGAGGAGGGCGTATGACACACATTGGCATTTTACCCGCATGGCGATCTGACCCAAAACTCAATTTCGAATCAATCGGCTGTTTGTTCTTAGAATGAAATAGTTCTGCTTATGAACGTGGAGTGGAACAAGCAACTCAACACATGGATCAACAAGCGAGACATTGGATTTGATATGTTGTGTTGCTGTTCCAAACATCAGGTCCTTGTCTATGCAAGAGTCCGCGCGAAAGAATACGAAGATTGCAACCGATATTCTTTATATTTGTCTCGACTTTTAATTGATTTTTGTAAAAAAAAAAAGACATTCTAAGCTCATGCAGGAAGCCATTTGTCTTTGTTAGTCGGACCCTCGCGTGTTTTTTCACAACTATTTATTATCGCTCTATTTGTGCAACTTGGTGTGTCCGGAGAAAACCCACAGATTTTGGTGTAGCGTGCGGTGGTGTGTCGCAGAGGATTCCTCTCGGCGTGATGAGCTGACCTCGTGTGCTGCTAGGCACAGACGTGTGCGGTATGCGCGCCGGTGAGGCCGAGACCTCTGCTGATCAATGTGTGTCGCTGTGTTTGTAGAGCGAGGGAACGCTGCTGGCCACTGGCTCCTACGACGGGTTTGCCCGGATCTGGACGAAGGACGGTGAGTTAGAGACGATTGTCCCCAGGTTCGAGGCCTGCCCGGATCTTCCTTTTTGACCCACTAGCCAACCAAACCCCGTGACCCACTTCTACAACGCCAATTTTACCTGCAACTTGACCTGACCCACTTTCATTAGACCCACATCCGCAACACAACCCAAAGCTTGGAATGTTTTTTGTTCAACAACAGTATCCGTCTTTGTTTGGACGCTAGGTTATTTTCGCACTGTCATGTAAGGTAACGTATACAGAAAACATAATTGTGTTGCTCCATCGTGAATATGACGCGACTCGCACCGTGTGTCGTAATACAATGATTAGAAGATTTTCAATTGGCGCCATTCTAAAAACGCGACGCTACTACCAAGGCGCTACGTTTGGCAGCCTGGTATAGTCCGCTGGTCATGTTGCAATGTGTTTTTTTTTCTTCCCGAATCGAGTAATTTCTTCATTCATGTCATGAGACATAGACGGACATGCCCAACCAGTGAAGATACAACCTAAATATGGTGGGGGGGGGGGGGGAAGTAACTTATGATTAATGCCAATCCACTGGATGAAGCCAAACGCCACACAACAGATAACACACTTTAGAATTCCTCGTGCACAAACGCCCGTTGCGTTTGTGTTACGTTGCGTTTAGTTCGAGCAACCGCTGCCGACTGACCTCGCCTCCATTCGTTCCCAGCTAAAGGAGCCCCCTCTCCCTCCTGTTCAGCAGTCTGGAAGCAGCCGAGTCTGGCCCGACAAGTTGTGTTGCATGGTGATGCAAGACTAAAGCAGGAACTTTGTATCTGGTGTGTGTGCGTGTGTGTCTCTGGGGAGCGGTAGCTTGGCGGTTATTGCGTTGCGCTGCGAACCCGGCGACCCGCGTTCGATTCCCGCTCACGGCCAACACCAGTGACGATTATCTTACCTGATCCCGGGCATCACTTAGGTGAAATGAGTACATAATGTGATGTGTAAATATCAGCATTGGGGAGACAAAGGTGGCTGGGCATGGTGCTGGGAACGCTAGCCCCTTGTGTGCCATGCCGGCCTTCATAGATGCTCGCTTACATTACTTGCCCCAACAGTCTGTTGAAGACTAGACAGGAGAGGTTTGTGTTTGTGTGTTTGGCGGTTGTGCGGAGCGGGGGTGAAGTTTCTAGCGCACTGTGCTATGAACCCGGTGATCCGAGTTCAATTCGAGTTCATGACTAAACAACAGTGGTGAATATTTGATGCAGTCCTGGGCCTCCCCAAAGTCAGCTCGGCCTTAAATGAGTACCTTGTGCGATGTGTGAACATCAGCACTAGCGAGACAAAGGCAGCCAGGCTCGATCCAGGCCACGCCGCCACCTCGACTGACATTCTGGCCTTCATAGATGCTACTAACAACGCCTGCTCCAACAGTCTGTTAAGGCTGTACGGGGGACCTGTGTGTGTCTTTTGTGTGTCTGTAGGTAACCTTTCCAGCACACTGGGGCAGCACAAAGGCCCAATTTTCGCCCTGAAGTGGAACAAAGAGGGGAACTACATCCTGAGTGCCGGCGTGGACAAGGTGAGGCCTCGTGTCTCCCCCACTATAGCTCTACTCGGCAACACAGGATGCCTACGATGACACCACCTAAGCCCTGGTGAAATGTAATTGGTGTCAACTTACAACTATAATTCGTGACTTAAGTTATGAATACACTTAGTGAATGGACTACATATTTTTCAATTTAAAGCTTTCGTGACTGCAGGGATTCATCTACTTGGTTCTTTCGGTAAAGTCACGTAGGAAGGGAAATAATAAAATTATAAAAATAAAACATAATAAAATAAAAATTCTCACGACGTTTCGGCCACAAGCAGCCGTCCTCAGGTGAAGAAACAGAGCTGTTTTATTATTTCCCTTCTACGTGACTTTACCGACAGATCCAAGAAGATGGACTACATATGTACTCCAAATACTGCAGGCATTTACAGTTATATCACTTGAAACCAAAGTGAGCGCATTATCTCATGTTCACATTACTCATGCCATGACAATATCGTCAATGTTGCTTGAAAACGCTTGTGAAATGATAACCGAGGTCTCCTCGCCATTGGAATGTAGAATTTCCAGCGCTGGCTCATCGCTCGCGTAGTCTCAGGGTGGGGGAGGCAATTCCACACGCACCCACGTGAATTACTCTCATAATGCCGTCAGAAATCTACACTGCCCGCCCAGTCTGCGAGATGCCTGCAAACAAACGACCCGTTGCGGGACATTTTCAGCGACGATGCGTAAACGTAAACACGCGTGAATGATTGGAGCGTGTATGTGCGTGTGTACTGAACTTACTTTGCACTTACGTAGCCAACCGTGCTAATTGGATGTGTGGGGACCTAATCGGAGGTGCGGGAAAGTGCACGAGAGGCGGTGTGGACGTGAGCGGTGTGAGACTTGGTGGCGCGTGCCGTGTGGCTCTCTCGCCCCTCGTTCTCAGACGACCATCATCTGGGACGCACAGACAGGAGAAGCCAAGCAGCAGTTTCCCTTCCACTCGGGTAAATCCTCGCGTGCCGTGAGCACGCCGCCAACGGCATCACCATGCGGTGCCGGAGACTTCATCACTCCGACCTGTTCTCCTGTCACCCTAACTGCACCATCGCTTTTAATAACCCTACTCTTTATTTTAAGCACTATCTTATTTACAATTTGTGAAGGTGCTATGTACAATATATGTAAGATAAGAAACGATAAATTGTGTTTATTTACTAATCTGTTATTATTTCGATTTAAAGCTTTCATGACACAGGAATTCATATTATTGGTTCTTTCTACGTGACTTTACCGAAAAAACCAAGAATATAATCTGTTATTATTTCACTTGGTGACCTCACTCCACGTGAGCTGCTCCAAATGCCCCAGGCATTCACGGTTGTATCACTTGAGGCCAAAGTGAACTGGCACCACCTGATGTTCGCATGACTCATGCCACAATATGTTGAAAAAACAATAGGCTTTACCCTTTACGGTGATAATACAGGAGGTGTTAAGATGTTCGAACACCACATAGACACCTATTGCAAGGCATCATAAAGTCTACGTGAACTCCACATACTTGTGGTAAAATATGTGCACAACAGATGTATGCATTGTCTTGGAAACTGATTGGCCAACACCAGAGACTGCCTCCTTCATGGCCTCACCAGTGTTAGACAAGAGGACGCCAATAGGCAATCTGAACACTTCCTGTATTTAGATTTGAAGTTTTCGTGACTGCAGGGATATCCATACTCTTTGGTTGGTTCTTTTCGGTAAAGTCACGTAGGTAGAAAATTAAATTTAAATAAAATTCAAACAATTGTTTCTTGCTGTGGTTGTCCCACCTGATGACGGACGCTTGTGTTGCGCCCGAAACGTCGTGATTTAATTTTAATTTATTTTATACCGACGTGACTTTACCGAAAGAATCAAAGAGTACGCCTCCTGTATTATTTTCAGAAAGGGTGAAGCCCATTCTGTTTTAATCATCTTGATATCGGCAATGTAAGTATCAATGTTCCTTGAAAACGTGCGTAAAATGATGAGTGAGATTCCCTCGCCGTGGGAATATGAAATTTCCACCGCTGGCTCAGGGGGGGGCCTTAACAAGTCTGAATTTCAGTAAAATCCTGCTTGGGTCGTCGGACCAATTCTTCTTGACCAAAGCTCACAGCCGCCACTGGCAGCCAGCGAGCGGCTGTGAGCCGCCCAGCTTGGCGACACCTCATCTGCGCTCACAGTGCAGCTCCGCCAGATGCCTCAACTTGAACCTCGTAGCATCCAACTGTTGCCGCGTTCCCACGACCACCGGGAAGTTTGCTGGCTCGGCGCTCCACTCGGTTTCGCTGCTCGGCACGGGGTTCCAAGCGGCAGCCCTGCCGTGCCGACCCGGCCAGCAGGCGGGCTCGGCGCACCTGCTCGGTGCCTCGCGTTGGTAGGGAGGGGGCGGCACTTTTTCACCTGAGCTAACCTCAGAATCGATCGGGGTCTCGGCTGCGTTTCGGCGAATGTCAGGGCCGCACGTTTGAAACAAAACAAAAACACCTCGGACAATTGCGAAACTTAACATATTTCAGCTTAGAATTGACTAACTTCGCCGTAGCTTCCGTTAAATGTTGTTAATGACTTAAAAAAAAATGTCTTCTCTCCTTTTTCACGACACGACCGTCCAGAGTAGCGATGGGAAGGGGGGGCGGTGGGGAGCAGAGCCCACGGCCTTTTGGCCTGCGAAGCGTCGGGGGGTGGAGGGGGGGAGAAGTGAAACCAGTACCGCGGCGTGGCTGTTGTAACATCCGAAACGCCGGCCTCCGGCCTCCTTTGTCGTCTCCCGTGTTCCTCGCGTTGCAGCGCCTGCGCTGGACGTCGATTGGCAGACGGACGACAGCTTCGCCTCGTGCAGCACGGACATGAGCATCCACGTGTGCCGGCTGGGAGAGGAGGAGCCGATCCGGACCTTCCGGGGGCACACGGTGCGTGGTTAGCGTGGTTCGCGAGTGCCGAGCGGTCGCGCGTTTTTTGCCGTTCATTACGGGGGTTTGCGGTGCGAGTCCGCACGCCCGCCCCGGTCAGTACTGTGGGGGGGGGGGCGTAATGTCCGTAATGACGCCACGCAAGCCGGCTGCCGTCCCATCACCTGCTCCTTGCCTCAGCTGTTTTCTTTCCATCGTAACAATAATAATGCAGTGGGAGGTGGCTTGGGTGGGAGTGAGTGGGGAGCGGTGGCGTAGTGGTTGGTGCACTGCGCTACGAACCCGGCTACCCAGATTCCATTCCCGCTCATGGCCAACACCAATGAAGATTGTTTGATCCGGTCCTGGGCCTACCCGAGGTCGACTCAAATGAGTGCCTGGTGCGGTTTGTCAACACTCGCCACTCGGGAGACAAAGGCGGTCGGGCGTGGTGCTGGCCAACCATCCCTTCGTGTGCCGTGTCGGCCTTCATAGGTGCTCGCTAACAGAACTCGCTCCAACAGTCTGTTAAAGGCTATGCGGGGGATCTTTGTCTTTGGTAGGGGGGGTTGGAATTCACTTCTAAGAGACAGAGGCCCCAATCCTCTGTGTCCTGGCTTTCGAGCGACGCTCGGCCTCCGCGCCTCAAGCGTCACGGTCATTTACGTCCGTGATATATCGCACGCACGTGACATCACAGTGACATCACAGTGACAATGACATCACAATGACATCACAATTCATACGCAGCCGTCTGTTTTGTGGTGGACGTTCCAGTTCCCGCAACGTCACATATTGACCAAGAGCAGACCACATTTCCTGGGGTCACGGTCTGAATTTGTCAAATTTCATAGGAACAATCTCCCTACAAAATACTTAAGTGAGAGATAACTCCCCCACCCCCCCCCCCCCCCCCATTGGTAGGCAACAGCCGTTTATAATGTAAATAAGCAGACAATACTCCTTAACGTATCCGTCTCCATGTAAAATAATTAATAAATATTTGGTACATAACCCGTCGGCTACAGCTTTCTGGGAGAGCTTTAAGACGCACCTATTTTTAAGTGGTGTTTTCTATTTCTTTAATATATATATTTTTTCGGTTGGGTGTTATGGGTGCGAGCCTGCATGCAATTTTTTTATGGTCATACATGACAGCACACGCATGTTGCCGATTCATCACTGTGCACACGTGTGTCTGCGTGCCGGCGTGTGGAACAGAACGAAGTTAACGCAATCAAGTGGGACCCCTCGGGGACACTGCTCGCCTCCTGCTCTGACGACATGACTCTCAAGGTGCGCACACGAACACTCTTTTTTTAAAGTAGGTGGCATCGTAAAACCCTTGAGGTCGGCGACTCCAGGTGCTCGTGACGGCTCTTGTCAGAGCGCCTCGAGCCAGCACCGGCGAGGTTCTGAGTTCACAAACCCAGGAGCTTCTCATTTCCCCAGCCGCTCAAAACCTGGCCCGAGTCACGTCCATGTCACTGTGGCCCCTTGGTTTTCACAGCAGGTCTGTGGAGCCGTAGCCAGTAAAGCTTTCCGTGCCTTGGCCTCGGAGCTTCCTTTCTGAACTCTACGTCCCCTGTGGAGGCCGGCCCAACCCTGGATATGGTTTTAACGTCGTCACGGGGTCAGCGGAGTCTGGTCCCAGATTGGTCCCAGACTCGGCTGGCCAATCTTGGCTCTGATATGAGTCTGGGACCAGCTTGAATCTGGGACCAGCTTGAGTCTGGTTGTGGATACATGGGAACAGTCGGACCTGATTAATCAAGCTTGCCTACTTAAGATGAACAGTCTAATATTCATCGAGCCGACTTAACCCAACCGAGAATGTATTATTTAACACGGATTTACGTTTTTGCACTCTGCATTATTTACATGACACAGATATTTTTGCTCCGATTTCTCTATGCTTTATTGCTCCACTTTATTTGATTGGTTTTGCAATTGTCATATCGGTGGCCCAGGTCACTCCAGCAACTGGAGGTTCTGTTCTGGTCCCTTTTAGTTCTTGCCTGAGTTAAACAACACACCACCTTGGCCTGTCCAAAGTGTTGTCGATCACCGATGTCTGCACAGAAACCTCTTGGGTTTTTCATTCAGCCCAGTGAACTTCTTGAGAGGTAAATATGAATGTAGACTCGTGTGCCCGCTGATCGACATCATCTGGTGAACCCATGCATAAACTACATTATTTCTATTTTATCAGGTAAGGCCCACTCAGCTATGTAGCTCCTTTTCAGAAGTGACCCTGCCACAAATGATAGCTCAACGAAGTGGCTTATCACGTGTAAATGTATAGCAGCCCAAAGACACTCAACGGATGATTCTAAATGTGGAGGGAAAAACCGGAGGACCCGGAGAAAAATCCACGCGACCACGGAGAGAGCATGCAAACTCCAAATAGGGTCGGGATCAAAGCCATGCTCTCCTGCATGCCTAGCAGGCGAGATAGTTAACATCTCACCACCGCATCTCACGGAGCATCATCCCTGGGACTCGCAACGTTGAGCACGTCACGGCCGTCTAATGGATTCTCGCGTTGTAGTTCACCTGCTGAAAATCACGCACTCGGCCCTGTTTGCCGCAGCGTCTCGCCAGCAGCTGCTGCCCGTGGTTCAGGTCTCGTGTAAGGGGTCTGCTCCACGAGTTCTGTCTTTACTCGCCGCCTCTCTTTTTAGAAGCAAGCAGCAAACTAATCACAGCTATCGAATGTTATTATTTAATTGACTATGGGGGGTTGGGGGGGGGGGGGTGTTGAATAAGTGGTGTGCATTAACTTATTGCTGCTACACAAACCAATTCAGTCAACCTCCCCACATTTTCTCCAAAAGTGGACTCGCCTTTGCTTGCTACTCAACGTTTCTGTGCCTCGGCTTCTTGAGTTTCCATTTCAGTTTCTTGGTGTTTTCCCAATTTGTATCCATTCGTGCTCCGACTGACTTTGGAACCCTTTGGGGCTTGACGTGTACGCGGGACCACTCTGACCGCTCTTCACATCGCCAAGAAGCGTCCTCCAACATCGGACAAGAGGTGGCAGCTGTCCATTTGACCGCGGGGCACTTTGATCGTCCTCAGATCTGGAGCATGAAGCAAGACACGTGCGTGCACGACCTGCAGGCCCACAGCAAGGAGATCTACACCATCCGCTGGAGCCCAGGCGGGTCACACTCTGGCCACCCCAACAGCGGCCAGATGCTCGCCAGGTCTGCGTCCTCTCGAATCGGAATCGGGATTATCTATTTCTTAATTTGGAGCTTTCGTGATTGCAGGAATTACTCTTTGGTTCTTTCGGTAAAGTCACGTATTTTATCTTTATACGTGACTTTACCGAAAGAACCAAAGAGTATTATCTATTTCAACTGGAGGAACCCAATGAGCTAATAAGTTATCTTTCACAGACGTCCGGTGTAGACCAGCGGGTCCAAGCCTGTGGTCGGCAGGCCACCGTTGGCCCACGGGGCTGTCGAGAAGTGGTCCGCAGAAACCGTTGCGGATCAGTGTCGTGATTCATAATTGTGATGAATTATTAATTTGGTTTTTGGGTTGGGTCGTCGTGTACGACACACTTTTTTACGTAAGTTAACTCGAAGTACTGATTATGAATAACGATAAGTAAAGTTTTAAACGTGAAACTATTTCGCCCGATAAATTGGTGCTTAAAAAATTACGTCTTCAGCAGGAATTGATTTCACCGTGGAATCTTCACTGGAAGGTAATCCCTCATTTCACGCGGTAGTCGATGCGTCCCTGAAAAGTGCCACGTTAATTGAAAACGACGCGTTCAGTGACGAATGACCAAGTTTCTGAATCCCATTCGCGCACTGTTTGCTCGGCCTGCAGCCAGGCAGTGAGATGGGGGTACGCCGCCGCATACCGGATCATTCCGCGGGGGTCGTCGAGGAGTGGTTCGCAGGAAACTGTTGTGGCCCACGTGATGTAATGCCTTGGTTTTAGTTGGAGGGTTAACGGTGGTCTGCGGCTCTAGAATGATTCATCTTCTTAGTTCTTTCGGTAAAGTCACGTAGAAGGGAAATAATAAAATAATTAAAATGAAAACATTATTAAATAATTCTCACGACGTTTCGACTGCAACACAAGCAATCATCATCAGGTGTGAAATCCACAGCAAGACACAAGCAATCATCATCAGGTGTGAAATCCACAGCAAGACACAAGCAATCATCATCAGGTGTGAAATCCACAGGTGTGAAATCCACAGCAAGAACAATTTCTTGCTGTGGATTTCACACCTGATGATGAATGCTTGTGTTGCAGTCGAAACGTCGTGAGAATTTGTATTGTTTGATATCTATATTATTTGATTATTTCCCTTTGTTTGATATCTATATTATTTTATTATTTCCCTTTGTTTGATATCTATATTATTTTATTATTTCCCTTCTACGTGACTTTACCGAAAGAACCAAGAATACTTAAATATGTAGTTGGTGCGGTGTGTAAAAATCAGGCAGCCGGGCATGGTGTCGGCCCCCCACCCCCTAGTGTGCCACCGTGCGCTAACAGCACTTGCCCCAACAGGCTGTTGAAGGCTACATGACGGGGATGATCTTTTTGTTTGTGCCACGGTGGCGGTGGCGGCGGTGTTCCCGCAGCGCGTCGTTCGACGCGACGGTGCGCCTGTGGGACGTGGAGAGCGGCACGTGCACGCACGTCCTCACGCGCCACACGGAGCCCGTGTATAGCGTCGCGTTCAGCCCCGACGGGAAGTACCTGGCCACCGGCTCCTTTGACAAGTGTGTACACATCTGGAACACGCAGGTGAGGCCCAGTGTGAGAGAGGCCATTCTCTGGTGGGACACAGAGCTGGAATGAGGTTACGCCACCGCGTCCTGTATCATTCCGCATACTGCATCGTACCGCTCGACCGTGCAGCTCAAGAACGTAGTTTGTTGTTGACCGCTCGGATCGTGCGCCTGTGACGCGTGCGTTCACCGCGTGCGTCGGTGATGCGTGTGCGTGCCACGCTTGTGAATGTGCGTGTGTAATGTGTGCCTGCCTGCCTGCCTGCGAGCCATATGTACCGGTGCGATTTTGTGTGTGTGTGCATGCAATGTGCGCGTGTGCGATGTGTGATTGCGTGTGTGTGTGTGCATACAGACGGGCTCGCTGGTGTACAGCTACCGGGGCAGCGGCGGCGTATTCGAGGTTTGCTGGAACTACACGGGAGAGCGGGTCGCGGCCAGCGCCTCTGACGGAACGGTGAGTGACGGTGATTAGCCAGGGCTCCACTCACTCCCAAATCCACTCACTCACCCCCAGATCCACCCACTCACAGATCCACTCACTCACAAATGCACTCAATCAGGGCTCCACTCGCCCCCAAATCCACTCACTCACCCCCAGATCCACCCACTCACAGATCCACTCACTCACAAATGCACTCAATCAGGGCTCCACTCGCCCCCAAATCTACTCACTCACCCCCAGATCCACTCACTCACAGATCCACTCACTCACAAATGCACTCAATCAGGGCTCCACTCACCCCCAAATCCACTCACTCACCCCCAGATCCACTCACTCACCCACAAATGCTCTCACTCAGGGCTCCACTCACTCACATGTCCACTTACCCAGAGATCCACTCACTCGGAGATCCACTGATTCACAGATTACTCACTCACAGATCCACTCACTCAGGGCTCCACTCACTCACCCACAAATGCACTCACTCAGGGCTCCACTCACTCACATATCCACTTACCCAGAGATCCACTCACTCGGAGATCCACTGATTCACAGATTACTCACTCACAGATCCACTCACTCAGGGCCCCACTCACTCACCCACAGAGCCACTGAATCAGGGCTCCACTCTCTCACAGATCCACTTACCCAGAGATCCACTCACTCGGAGATCCACTGATTCACAGATTACTCACTCACAGATCCACTCATTCAGGGCTCCACTCAACGATCCACTTACACACATAACCACTGACCCACAGGTCCACTCATCCACAGCTCCACTCTAGTGTGCGGATCTGTATGTGTGTGGACCTGTGTGTGACTGAGTGGATCTGTGAGTAAGGGAGTGGATCAATCTCAGTGAGTGGATGTGTGAGTGAGTGGATTAGTGTGAGTGAGATGATCTTTAATGTGAGTGCATATTTTGTCTTTACTTCAGCCACTAATGCATTAATTAGTGGACTGCCAATTCTGCAAATTCAATATTTTGTTCATTATTTTTGGAATCCAATTCTCTATTGTGAACACATCCACCGTCACAACCACCATCACCACCACCCCACCACATCACATTCACTGCCCAAGACCATTGTCATCATCATCTTCACTACATCCACCATCCGGAGTTTGAAGTGGATCACGAGGATGGGGTTAATTTAATGGAACTCACCGACAGGGGGCGAGACAGGGCGCAATGTATGTCTGTTGAACTTCGTTCGCACCGTATAGATCCAACCGGGTTAATCGGCGGTGCGGTGGAAGGATAACAAACTAAACACAAAAAGCAGTTCCATTTTGATTTGAAGCGTTCGTGACTGCAGTAATCCATACTCTTTGGTTCTTTCGGTAAAGTGACGTAGGTAGAAAAAATTATTCATAATATAGGTTTTTGGGTCGGATCACGTTATTTATAAATGTGTCGTAACCCTCCACCACCCGACACGGCCAAATAGTAAAAAATGTGTCACGTTTTTCAAAGGACAAAATAATTCACATCTTTAGCCCACCGGTGTGTTGAAGAGAGAATCAACAGCATTTAAAAATTTGAGTAGTACGACGTTTCGCTGGCAATTACAATCAGCTTCATTACCAGCGAAACGTCGTACTACTCAAATTTTTAAATGCTGTTGATTCTCTCTTCAACACACCGGTGGGCTAAAGATGTGAATTATTTTGTCCTTTGAAAAACGTGACACATTTTTTACTGATTGGCCGTGTCGGGTGGTGGAGGGTTACGACACATTTATAAATAACGCGATCTGACCCAAAAACCTATATTGTGAATAATATTGGTCGCGAAAGCCTGCTACGTATTAAACAGAAAAAATTATTTAAGAAAACAACAGCAGATACATTTTTTTATCTGTGCTTATATAAAGCCACAACAGCAGATACAATTTTTTTTCTCACCTGAAGATGGCCGCTTGTGTTGCGACCCAAACGTCGTGTTTTCTTTTGTTATGTTTACTACCTACGTGACTTTACCGAAAGAACCAGAGAGCACAAAAAGCAGTTCCAAAGAAATGAGTTTTCAGTCGAGATTTAAAAGGAGGCCGGGTAGCAGCACCCCTGGGAGGCTGACAATGTCTCTGTTCACGTTCCTGTCTCTCCACGTAATAATAATAATAATAGGAGAGCCACACTGAGCCATGCGACTCTGTTGAAGGGTGTCCTGCATTGCTGGGTTGATACTGTAAGATGTTTCCAGCTAAATGAACGATGAGTGTTTATAGCGGGAGGAAGCTGAAGCACCCGGAGAAAACCCACATCTTGCGTGAGGGGGCAACGCTCTATCCCCGTTCTTAAAGACAGATTTGCGAAGGAGATACATTGTCTGCTTATATTTGTTCAGTATTCTTATTGTTTACGTTTTCAGAAGCATAAATTGTGTAAAACCTTGAAGCAGCAGCAGCAACTGCTTGGTCACATTTCGATTTAAAGCTTTCGTGACTGCAGGGATTCATCTTCTTGGTTCTTTCGGTAAAGTCACGTAGAAGGGAATTATTTTATTATGTTTTATTTTTATTATTTCCCTTCTACGTGACTTTACCGAAAGAACCAAGAAGATGCTTGGTCACAGTTCTCTGACGGCCACGCTTGCTGGGGTATTCTGCGCGGTTGGCTTCTTCTCCGTAGGGCCGATGTTGCTGTCGAGCAACGGCTATTGTTGTACATTGGGGGGGGGATTAATGAGTGGGATGATTGCGGAGTCGGGACTGGCGGAGTGGTGCACCGAGTCGTTAAATGTTCCTTGTTGCTCTGCCGGGTGGTGACCACAGCCTGGGTAACGATTCGCCGTCCTCTCTGCCCTACCTCCACCTTCCGTTTCTTCTTGGCAGGTGTGCGTGCTGGACCTGCGGAAGTAGCCAAACGCGACAAGCCCTACGACCCGGCGGCCCCACACGTTCCCAACCACACGAGCCCTACTCCACCCCCTCACCACACCCCCTCTCCACCCATGGCCCATCAAGGTCCATGCCTTCCCGGCTTGCTCAGTCGCGCGCGCACCCCCCATCGTACAACCTTTACCCCGACCCGCCGCTCAAACGCTCTCTTTCCGTAGCCTTTATCGGCAGCCTGTGGCTTCGTATTCGCCGATAAATGTTCCACTCTCGACTTTCACGAGGTTTAAGGTCGTGGCGACCTCTCTCATAACGGGGTCGCGGTCGGTAAAGAGTTGCGCAGTCGTTACGAACTTTCTTGCCGTAATCTTTAGTTGCACGCGTTGTGTTTTAAAGTGGCGACTCGCGCCGTGGTACTGGCAACGTAGTCTGTCCGCTGTTGCGAGTGACATTGTGGGATTTTAAGGTCCTACTTCACGGCGGCAAACGCCCGCTGCGCGATGAGAACATCGCTCGGTGGGGCTCCACGATCAACTCTCCCGCTTGCAGCAGCACCGACAGTAATGCTGCTCCATTGTTTCACAGCACATCGCCTCTCCTCGACTATTCCTATCATCCTCACCCACAATATTATTCGCGCTTACCCACAGATTGCACCTCCGATTAGCACGTACATACAGATAAGTGAGCCCGAAAAGTGGTGGCTAATTCATCCTTATTATCCACGCTTTTAAGGTGCCGATACACACACGCACACAACTTCCCCGTGGTGCAGTGGTGGTGGTGGTTCTTTCGGTGCTCCCATTGGGCCCCAGTGCTAGTTCCGGTGCTGGTCCCAGCGATCTCCCTGTGGTCCCGACCGCCCGACGCCGACTCGCGTGGTAATGCCCAGCGGCCACGGAAGTGGCGGCGTCCGTTTACAGCGGCGAAGTTGATAGCCACAGCGCACCCGGACGTTTGCCACGGATTCATCCCCTTAGTCCGCATTCATCCACTGCGCCTCTGCATGCAGATAAGAGGGAGGAAATTCACGCCGTTAAGACGAGGGACATCACGCAGATAAGCCTGGGACGGCTTAATCAGTGCAATTGCAAAACACGAAATCGAATTACATTTGAAAGAAAACGAGAATGTACGCATCAAGTTGCGCTGATGTTGAGGCGACGTGGATCGTTTGGTTGATCGCGACAATCCACAAGTTCGACTCGTCGTCGTCGTCATCGTCACTCTCTCTACGTTCGCTCGGCACCGTGGCAACGCCGATGGCCGTGCGAGCAGCCAGGAACGCCGGCAGAAGTCCCGAGAGAAGTATTTTGAAGGCGGATTGTTTCGAGTAATTGTCGTCGTGTTCAGTCCCGTTGTCAATCCAGTGCAGGACGAAAGGCCTCTTCTCCCCCGTTTGACCATACCTCACCGTGCTGGTTCGGTGTGGTTTGGTGAAGGGGAGCCAAGAATACTGTTGAGATTTGACGCTCGCCACTGATCTGCTTTTACCGTGGGCCGGGATTCAAACTCGAGTCACGGTGCCACCGCCACCACCCACCCGATGCGCCACCCACCGCACCACACCACCGATGATTGCCGCATGTTTAAAGCCACGCTGAACCGTCCTCTGTTGAGGGAGAGAGGAGGAGGTCTGTGTGAAGTGACTCAGAGACGTTAGTTCTGTTGTTTCTTTGGTGTCATTTTCTGTATTTCAACGTTGCTCTACTGAGCTTGGGGTGTGTGGCTACATCTCATGTCTTGACTCGTGTTTGGTACTGCTGAGATATCACTTTGGTTTAAGATGTGAGAAAAAAATCAGTGACATTCTGACAACACCGTCTTTATTTAGGTTAAAGTCATCTTAAGTCGATCCGATGTAAACATCTAATGATAATTTTATATGCAGCTTCAGGAACGTAAACTACGATTCATAATTCGTTTATTTTGGGGTAGATCGTTTGGGTACAATACCAATTTATTAATTGTAACCCCCCTCGTCCCGAAAGCCAATGCTTCACCTGCATGGCTATCCTGATGACGTCACGGCAGCCACTTAGCTTCTGTTAACGCCTCATGATGCAGGGGGGCGTGATCTCCAGCGAAACGTCGGACACGATTGTCCATAAGAATTGGTCGCTTTTTCGACAATCGGCACATTTGCCCAAGATGTGACAACTCGATTGGATTGCCCCTGCCAGGTGAAGGGCTGTCGTAACGACTAAAGTGTTTGACATCAGAGCTGCGATCGCTACATGACGACGATCTCGCCCAGGCGTCGGCAGCCTGCGGGTTGACTCTTTGGTTTCCCCCTTGAGGAGGGCAGCAGTTTAAAAAAACAACTAATTCTTAAACGTTATTTTACGTAAAGATAGTTGATTAAATATGGCAGGGAACGGGTTACTGGAATTTGTTGGTGATAAGAAAATGTACAACAGTCAAACTATTGTTAAAGAATAAGGGGGGGAAAAACTAAATTGACGCAGCTTATGCTATCACCTATGTTGTTTAAAGTCCTGATGTGTGTTGTCATTCGCTGCGTACCTGCTGCGTTTGTGTTCAAGTAGCTCTGCGTGTGGTGCGCTCTCCAACTATTCTGGTCAAGACAAAAACAAGATAATTCTTCTTCTTGAAAAGGTTGCCGACCCATGCTCCAGGCCAAAATAAACCGTGACTCGTATTCGACGAGAGTACAAAAACGAGTCGTGATCACGCATGGAACTTCGTATCTGTCAAACGTGGCCACCCCAAAACCACCACTGCCATCACCAAACTTCCCACACCTCCCCCTCCCTCTCCCCGCTCACAAACGACAGTGAATGTTGTCCCCAAACTCTTGAAGGCCCTGGCACCTGGTTCCCGAGCCAGGGTTCGCTGGCCTCCTCCCATCGCACACAGTCGCGTGCACAGGCAGTCCGTGGGGAATGGCGGCGTCTAAAATTGTTGTAAATGTTAAAATTTTTGTCCTTGAAAAAAAAATACTTTTTAAAGAATCTCCTCTCAGTGAGTCACTTTTTTGGAAAGAAACTTGACTGTGAACGTAGACTTATACAGTACTGTATATGTATTATTTTAAGTTTATAAAATGTGTACAGTGTAAAATGTAAGCTTTTGAAATACACATTTTGAAAGCGAAATAAAAAGCATGGAGTGAGTGCTGTGTCTGCGATGAGTGTGTGTGTTTCTAAGAGCCCGTGTCCATTCTCAAAGATGTCCCCCATCGTGGCCATCCTTACAATCGGCTCTGTGAAAGAACGCGAGAACTTGCTCGTCTGTGGGCAATGTTAGTCTATGGGCATTAGAGTCTATGGGCAATGTTAGTCTATGGGCAATGTTAATCTATGGGCATTAGAGTCTATGGGCAATGTTAGAGTCTATGGGCATTAGAGTCTATGAGCAATGTTAGAGTCTATGGGCATTAGAGTCTATGGGCATTAGAGTCTATGAGCAATGTTAGAGTCTATGGGCATTAGAGTCTATGAGCAATGTTAGAGTCTATGGGCAATGTTACTATATGGGCAGTGTTAGTCTATGGGCAATGTTAGTCTATGGGCAGTGTTCGTCTATGGGCAATGTTACTATATGGGCAATGTTAGTCTATGGGTAATGTTAGTCTATGGGCAATATTAGTCTATGGGCAGTGTTAGTCTATGGGCAGTGTTAGTCTATGGGCAGTGTTAGTCTATGGGCAGTGTTAGTCTATGGGCATTGTTAGTCTGGGCAATGCTAGTCTATGGGCATTGTTAGTCTATTGGCATTGTTAGTCTATGGGCAGTGTTAGTCTATGGGCAGTGTTAGTCTATGGGCATTGTTAGTCTATGGGCAGTGTTAGAGTCTATGGGCAGTGTTAGTCTATGGGCATTGTTAGTCTATGGGCAATGTTAGAGTCTATGGGCAGTGTTAGTCTATGGGCAATGTTAGAGTCTATGGGCAGTGTTAGTCTATGGGCAATGTTAGAGTCTATGGGCAATGTTAGTCTATGGGTAATGTTTGTCTATGGGCAGTGTTAGTCTATGGGCAGTGTTAATCTCTGGGTAATGTTAGAGTCTATGGGCAATGTTAGTCTATGGGCAGTGTTAGTCTATGGGCAGTGTTAGTCTATGGGCAATGTTAGTCTATTGGCAATGTTAGTCTATGGGCAGTGTTAGTCTATGGGCAGTGTTAGTCTATGGGCAGTGTTAGTCTCTGGGTAATGTTAGTCTATGGGCAGTGTTAGTCTATGGGTAGTGTTAGTCTATGGGCAATGTTAGAGTCTATGGGCAGTGTTAGTCTATGGGCAGTGTTAGTCTATGGGCAATGTTAGTCTATGGGCAGTGTTAGTCTGGGTAATGTTAGTCTATGGGCAGTGTTAGTCTCTGGGTAATGTTAGAGTCTATGGGCAATGTTAGTCTATGGGCAGTGTTAGTCTATGGGCAGTGTTAGTCTATGGGCAGTGTTAGTCTATGGGCAATGTTAGTCTATGGGCAGTGTTAGTCTGGGTAATGTTAGTCTATGGGCAGTGTTAGTCTATGGGCAGTGTTAGTCTATGGGCAATGTTAGTCTATGGACAGTGTTAGTCTGGGTAATGTTAGTCTATGGGCAGTGTTAGTCTCTGGGTAATGTTAGAGTCTATGGGCAATGTTAGTCTATGGGCAGTGTTAGTCTATGGGCAGTGTTAGTCTATGGGCAGACATTTGTGACAATGTGTGACGATTGGGGGTGGGGGTGAGAAATGTGACGTCACATCAAAATGCCCAACTTTAAATAAATATAGACAACACGCTCCACTTAATTAAATAGACTTTGTAATAAATGTGTTCTCCTACAACATCAGAGTACAGCGCCACATTAAATACGCACTACAATGCCAATAGTTTAAAGCGATTTGAAGCATGTTTATTTGGGCGGGGGGGGGGGCAGAGCTTTGTGACGTTATATTTGAGGGGGGTCTGACTTTTTGTGACGCTGTGTGATGAAGGGGGGGGGGGGGGTCAAAAATCGTCCAAAATCGCGTGACGTCATTTATGGCCGTCCCCTAAGGACAGAGGAAGATGTGCGATTAAATGTACGTTGAGGTGTGTGGGACACGTACAGGGAGAGAAATCAGTTGCAGTTACTTGAAACTCACTGAGTTCCCACAGAATTGACTTGTTGATACACTAATATGAACGGCACTTTATCATATAATACCAAACGTTCGTGTTGATACAATCTAACACCCTTAAATCCTGACTTAAAGCTTTCGTGACTGCAGGAATTCACATTCTTTGGGTTTTTCGGTAAAGCCACGTAGATTGGTGGCCCAGTAAACGTTACGGTCAGCCAGACATGTTTCCGGTCGCTTGCTGGACGTGGAAAAAAATAAAAAAGTTTTTATTTCTCCGGATATATTTCCCCTCGATGGAAACTTGCCCTCTGCGGCATGGGATACGAATGATCCATCGTAAAGTATACGTTTGGGTACGTTCATAAATGACAAATTCAATCAAACATAACGTTAGACGCACCAGAGTTTGTTCAAATAAAGATGTTGATATCCATAGGGAGCACATAAATCATGACACGGCTGATTTAATTTTAAAATGTAGATAAGGTACAGTGAGATAAGGACAGTAGTTCTTGCTACCTTGAGGAAGCAGTGGCCCTGACGGTGGCTCAGCGGTTTGCGCACCCGGCCACCTAAGTTCGATTCCCAACCACAGCCAACATCCGTGGCGCATGACATCTGAACCGGTCCTGCACGCGCCCGACCCGCACTGACCAGAGTGGTGAGGTATGGTCAAACAACTGCCATGACCGAGAGGCATGGGGAGGCCTTGTGCGGCGTATTGCTGGAGAGCTGTCGTGTCCACAGCTCACTGCTCGGTGCTCTGTTCCACGTCCGTCAATTTAAAGACCATCAACGCATCAGAACATCAACGGCCCCATGCGCCCGCTGCATCTTCATCTGTTGTCGATGTGAAGGCACAAGCCACGGTCGAGTGATTGTGGCCATGCGACCTAAGCCGTGGGACCGTACAGCGTAGAAAACCACTGCGGCCTGCGCGCCTTACACGGAGGACGAGGAGCAGCAAAACGACACGGATTCTCTCTCCGCTGAAGCCCTTTCGCCGTGGCGAGCAGCGGATTAGCTTCGACCTCCTCAACATTAATTCTAGATTTGAAGCTTTCGTGACTGCAAGGATTCATACACTTGATGCAGCAAATCTGGCTGTGACGGTCCCACCAGAGCGACGTTTGTGTGAAGCCGCCAGGTTGCTTTGGTGTCCTCCCACTTGTGAGCCACTCATTGACTGAAAACGCCTTCATATATCGAGGACCGCAGAGCTTGGGGGCCGTCCATAAATGACATCACGCGATTTTGGACGATTTTTGACCGCCCCCCCCCCCTTCGTCACACGGCGTCACAAAAAGTCAGACCCCCCCTCAAATATGACGTCACAAATATCTGCCGCCCCCCCCCCCAAATAAAAAAATAGAACATACTTCAAATCGCTTTAAACTATTGTCATTGTAGTGCGTATTTAAAGTGGCGCTGCACTCTGATGTTGTAGGAGAAACATTTATTAACAAGTCTATTTAATTAAGTAGAACGTGTTGTCATTACTTTTTTAAAGTTGCGCATTTTTACGTGATGTCACATTTCTCACCCCCGCCCCCCCCCCTTGTCACACATCGTCACAAATGTCTGACCCCCGACCCCCCCCCCCTAGGTGCGTGACGTCCCCAAAGTGCTTTCCTCTCGGCGATAACGAGCGAATGCTCTGCGGCCGCGCCGCGTAACAAGTTGAGATGTATAAGTAACGGTAATTATTACCGTGAGTTCATTTAACAAGCGTTGGGCAAACGGGCGAAGAGAAAAACACAAACTCGCCAACGGCAACGCTTTTTAGCGTGCGCGGCTGTGGTCGAGACCGCAGGCCAGGTGCTCGCCTCCGACAAGGTGGGAGAAGCAGCGCAGATGAAAGAGCCCTCGGGAGGTAAACAAAGTGGAGGAGAGAGAGGGAGATGTGGGCCCCGGGCAGAGAGACGTTTTGACTTTTTAAACAACTTTTATTGCCGCCAGCAGCAACAGCACTGGAGGCGATTCCGATACGAAACACACAAATCACAAAAGCTATAAATCCACGCGCTGTCGCGCTAAAAACGCCGCGCACAACACGAAATAAAAGCCACGTGGTTGTGGTGGTGGTCATCGCACGCCACGGTGACGAGCGAGCGCTTCAGAAGGTGAACACGAGGGTGCCGTCCACGCCGGTACAGAGAGGGGCTTGTCCGGCTCCCCAGCGTTCGAAGAAGACGCGCTGCACATCACCGACATGTGTGTGGTACATGGCGTGCTCCAGCCGGAGCCGCGCCTTGAGCAGGCCTCTGAACACTGGAATCAGCACAGAGCAGCCGTCAGTGTTCACCTTGCAGCATCTTTCCCTCGTCTTGTACACGGCCCAGGGAAAGAGAGAGATATGAGCCCCCGGGAGAGAGAGAGATATGAGCCCCGGGGAGGGAGAGAGATATGAGCCCTGGTGAGGCTGGGCTCAGTCAAGAGGCTAAGGCGGTGGCGCTCAGAAAGACACAAAAAGGTCGCGCGAAATTGGTTTAACAACGTGGAGGCGTGCAGGTCGATTTTTCAAAAAAATTAGAATGAGAGCGATATTGTACTGATACAATGAAAGTTATATTGTACTGATACAATGAGAGTGACATTGTACTGATACAATGAAAGTGATATTGTACTGATACAATGAGGGTGATACAAGAACCGATTTACGTCGGTGGGTGTCGTTCCTAAAAGTCGCGACGACGAACATCGAAACGACGCCAACGACAGCGACTCGGGTTCACGTCTCGACAGACAGTGGCTCTTTCAGGACTGCTGCATCGTCAGCCGCTCTTTATTAAAGCACCGCCACCACACAGCTCTTGAAATATTTGAGTTGTTGTTTTAATTTGGGTTCAACACGTAGGTTTTCGCGACCAATATTATTCATAATCAACGTTTTTGGGTTTAGATCAGCGTTATTTATAAATGTGTCGTAACCCTCCACCACCCGGGCCCCGTGCTCATTACCAAAATAACTCAACGCATTCGGTCAACGACGCTGTGGCCTTGAAATAAAAATACACAATTGGCAACGTTTCGGGAAATAACCCTTCTGCGTGGTACACGGTTTGGCTA